AGAATGTCTGTAGATTAGATTTAAGAGCAGACTAAGATGAACCTTTAGAACACAGAGGCAGTTTTTACCTGGCATTGGCCAAAATCAAAACATTGTTTCAGCTCTGATATGACCCATAAAACCCTATTGATTAATTCTCATCACTCTATATTTTCTCCATTGGTAATTCCATTTACCTCCTTGGTTTTAACTACCACGGGCCGGGGGGGGGGGGGACCACCTTCCAAAACTATTCCTTTAACTATCATCTCTTATGTGTCCAACCCCTTTTTCCAGCTCTCCCCAGGAGACCTTGTCCAGGACCTCTCCAAGCTGCTCAGATACAAAATGTCCACCGGAAATCTGTTTTGTCCCTCTGTCAGCAATTCTTCCATTCAGTCTATCATCATCATCATCATCATCCCATGAAACAGGCACAAAATCATGGTGCTTCTCCCCAGGTCCCATTATTGCTAATTTCTACGGCTTCCACCTGCCATTTTGGCCCATCTCTATCTCGTCTCCTGCTCGTACCAACTGAAGTGCTCCTGGAGCCCTGGGCTTTCCTGATGGATTCCCTTTTATTTGTTCTAGCCCTTTTCCCTATCTGGGAACCCCTTTCACCATTCTATAATCCTATCTATGTCAACAACTTATTCTAATGCCAGTTTAACATAACCTTCCTGATCCATTCTCTCAAAAGTATTCCCTACCTATCCTGAACTCTCCAAGATTTTACTCTATATCTTTCTTATGGTGCACACTTGGAACTTAACTGAAATAATATTTGTGAGCATATACACTGTATATCAGGCATATATGTAGACACTTTATATACATTTTAACTTAATCCTTTCAGCAGCCCCGTAAGACCTAGAAAGGCCCCTGCCCCTGGAGATCCGCATTCTACTGGTCTTGGGTACAGCTTGGACATGGGGACTTTTTTTTGAAAGTATGTGCCACACCCAGCTTGAAGCCCACACCCAGGGCTCGAATTCATGACTCTGAGATCAGGACTTGAAATGAGATCAAGAGTCAGTCACTTAACTAAGCCCCCCAGGTTCCCCCGGACATGGGGACTTTTAAGTACTCCCGGGGTAATTCCAATGTATAACATGGTTGAGAATCGCTGGTCTAACGCCAAACTCATGAGCAGGACATTCTCCAATAGTAGGTATCACCTTTGAAGCTTTAAAGAACAAACAAATGATAGACCCCAGCCCCGTCCTACCAGATTAGAATATCTAGGAGACAGAGTCTAGGAATCCACATGATGATAAAGCTTCACAGGTTATTCTGTCACATAACCAGGATGGAGAACCACCGTCTTTGTCAGACACTGTATCATCTTCCCATAGTCCTATATTACAAGTAATTATGCATGTCTCCTCCCACTGTGTGATCTGTAAACTCTTTGAGGACAGGTTTACATTCGAGTCACTGTGGTCTGCTCCCTCGCACCTAGCAAGGTCCCTTGTGCATAGTAGGTTTTAGAAACTAAAGCACCAATATTATGTCCTTTGATGAAGAAAACAAAGATAACTTTTTAAGAAAACAAAGATACCTTTACACAGTACTTCTTCTATGCTGAGTTTTTACATTTCGGTTCTCTGAGCATCATATTTGCATGTGTGTAGAGTGCCAGGGCTAGAACTTGAACTCAGCTCTTCTGACAATACTCTGGCCTCTACACCTAGGCCTTCAAAGCAACTACAAAGTGAAAAACTCGACTCTCTGTGTGTTTGCATACCTGCTGTCAGATGTGTTTCTAAAATTTGAACATAACCTGTCACGTGGGGAAAAAAGTCTGTTTGCATTATGAAATGGATTTGGAAAAATACATTAATTTCAACCCAAAAATTAAACATGGAACTAAATAGATGGCCCCTTTCCTCTCATCAATCTCAACCTCCCTCACCTCCAGAGGTACCTACAAGTAGACAAACATACCCTTTGACATTTCTTGACGGTTCAGTTACTGCGTTAGGGTTTTTTTTCCCCTTCATCTTAGTTTGTACTACTTCTCAAAGATTTTCAAATAACCTGAGTTTCTGGTTATAATTGAAATCTTTTTAGAAGATTCATATACAGGGCGCCTGTGTGGTTCAGTCGTTAAGCGTCTGCCTTCGGCTCAGGTCATGATCCCAGGGCCCTGGGATCGAGCCCCGCATCGGGCTCCCTGCTCCATGGGAGGCCTGCTTCTCCCTCTCCCACTCCCCCTGCTTGTGTTCCCTTTCTCGCTGTGTTTCTCTCTGTCAAATAAATAAATAAAATCTTTAAAAAAATAAAATAAAATAAAATAAAAAGATTCCTATACAGTTTACTTAAGGTAGTAAATTGACATCTGGTATAAACTTGTGATGTTTCACTCAATATGAATATGAATATGCACATAAACATAACAAAGTTGAAATGAAACTCAAACAACATCTAGAAACCTGGATTCTAGGCTCTTTTTGCCATTTCTGAGCTAGGTGACTCTGGGAAAGGAATGAACTTTCCAGAAGCCTCTTTTCCACCTAAAAAAATGAAAGGGAGAAGGACCTAAGATAGACCTCCCAAATTTTCTTCCAAATTTGAAAGTTTATGATCCCTTAAAATAAGAAGAATTAATTTATTAAGGCTTTTGGTCAAGATTAAATTAGTCATCGATCCTGATCCACTACTCAGGTGATATTTTAAAGGGCAAACAGAATTATTATGAAATTTGGACACTTCTTCACAAGGTAGAAAGTGTTCACCTCCATTATCTCTTTTCATTTTCATAACATACCTGCAGAACACTCCTTATTATCCCCATTTCACAGAAAAGAAAATTGAGATGCAGACGGTTGAGTGACTTGCCTTGGGTAACAAAATCAGAAAATAACAAATCTAGACCCCTAGGGAACCCAACTTTTGACTTCCTTCAGCACCTCGATGGCCACAGGCAATGCTGGAGAAGGGGGCCCAGGTAAATCTGACATGCAGACAGCTCCCCCCAGTAGCCTCTGTGCCTTCCCAAAATGCTTTCTAGCCCAGAAGCCCATAAGTTGCTTTGGAATAGAATACCAGTGAGGATTTACTTATCATCTCATTTCTGAGTGCATATTTTCTTGAGCATTTATAGATCTGTTTTTCCAAGAAGCTGAGAGTTCCTGACAAAACACGACAGATAATGATAAATGAGCATCTATGTTAGCCTAGCTGGGAGGAGGCCGAGGGACTGTTAACACCCCTCCTGTGAAGTTAATCCCATTTCTTTTAGCCATTTCTTTATTAGTTAATGAGGTCTTACAAAAATGTGTGTCTGTGATGGTGTTTTAGCATCCTTGCCTCTAGGAACATTCTCAAATATTCATAAAGTCGCTCCTCTGACCAAAGCCTAAAGCAAAGGTGCATTAAGTAATGAATTTTAGTCAACTTCAAATGTGGGTGGTCACAAAGCTGCTCCTGAAATATCCCCTCAATAATCCTCCTCATTGGTATCTCCAGATCTGCAGCACTGGGTGCAAATGTGAAGGGGAACTGGGAAAAATGGAATTATTTAGGACACCAGGACTCCGAAGGGCAGCCCCCTAAACTCTGATCCTGCCTCTTGACTGACAGCAGTGTGGCTTGCTTTTGGAAAACTGAATAACTTAAGGGAAACAGAAACAAAATGAAAAAGGAATTACCAGTCAAGCCCCTGGGAAGGAGAGCAGAGGCTCATTGTTATTGCTCCTGGGAGGCCAGAGACCCACTTCCCACTTGAGTTCCTTATGGCAAAGAGGGAAGCATCGAAAGATGGCTTGATGCTCAGTGGTGCATTTTTGGAGAGGCAAACCAAAGGCAGAAACTTGGTTAACTACTAAACCAAGCTCCCTGGTACGGTGAATCACAGTGATTACGTCTACAACCTAGTTTTGGAGGGTCCTCCACCCCATAGCACAATCCTAGGAACACAGCTGGAGTGCACGTGCACGCGTGCATCTCTAACACCCTCCTCCCCTGACTCATCCACACACACGATTTCCATCATCTCAAAGTGCACGCAATCCTTGATGCTTTTCCACCCTTTTATGATTTTGTTTCCTCAAAACATCACTTCAGGAAGTTGACATTATAGCTGGCCTCCTATGTGTAGTTTACAAGCAAAGGGACTTTTTCAAAGGGCGTCTGTAAAAATACCATTTCAAATGTGTGAGGAAGATGAAGCACTTCTGTCTGGTTCTGGATGGCTTGGACTATCTACGGTATACTTTTCCTAAGAAACGGAAAATAACAGCCCAGCATTCTCCCGCCTGTTTCTGCACAGGTAACCAGAATAAGCCACCAAAATGGTGCAGGTTTCCTGCTCCTACTTTCGAAGGAGCTCGAGGAACAAATGATAAGACCAAAGCCTTCTAACCTTCAACCCCCTAGGGCAGAGCAATAAATCACAATAGTACTGGTAGCTCAGGGCTTTCTGACACAGAATGTCTATGCTCAGAAGGGCCCATCCATGTCATTGTCACTAAGACTTGTATTCATTGGAGTCTCTTGGCCTTTTTACGTGATCAGCACCCACCCACCCACGCAGCCATTGAAGGAAAGCTCTGGGCCATAATTCTGAAAGGAGGTGGCCATGGAATCCATTCAGTACAGATGTGGTGACAGACAGACATCATCCATTAACAAAGGCAGATAAATGCAAACATTTTCTTTTCTAGCTCATTGCTCAACTTCCTGGTCATTTTAACCAGTTACACACTTACTCACAATGTTAAGAAAAAAAGAAAAGAAAAGAAAAGAGGGAGAAAAACAGGGAAGGGAAAGAAAAAGTCCTGAAAATAGCAATTGCACAGTAATAATGCTGCTTTGAGTAAAGCTCAGCCCATACTATTATTTCTCTCTTGTCCCTGCCGTGGGGACATTGAGGGCACTTTGACAGCCATTACGATTACAGAAGATACAAGCTAGTGTTGGTTGTTCCAGATGTAATTTTACAATTTCTCGAAAGAAATACTGTTACGTCCCAGATGCAAATTTGACTGTGTCCTGTCCTTAATGTTGTGTTACAGGTGATTCACGTAACAGGCCGGCTACGACTGAGGGTGGCCCTATCCCACGGGAGGACCGTTCCCAGCCAAATCATGGGTCTTGTGGTTGTGGCTCACGCCCTGCCTCCCCCTACGATCAATGAAGTCAGAATTGACTGCCATATGTTCGTCACTCGAGTAAATATGGACCTCAATATCATTTACTGTGAAAATAGGTACTTTGTTTTTGTTCTCATCTCCTCTGTTGTCTGTTACACATTGGTGAAGCCTGGTGTTTGCAGCAGTCTGAAGGATTTTACTCTCCCAGTGAGGCTCATTATAAATCCTGATCTTATTTTTAATGGCTGCTTGGACTGACACCAAACATGCTTTTTATTTAAAATTTACATTGCTGCCCTGATTTACATTAGGGACGACAATGGAAAGGATTGGGGTACCCGGACATCCGTATGCTGCAAGTAAGACCCGTTTTGGCCGAGAAACCAAGGAGAGAGCCCGGCTGAGACGTTCTTGGCCAAATTATGCCATAGAAGGCGTCTCCTGTTGCCTCAGTCAGGCCCACTTCCTGACTACTGTACGGGCCCAGCCTCACAGTGGCCAGTGTTCATATAGGCATTCAGCACATTGCCTTAGCTGCTTGCCGGGCTGCTAGAACACCTTACTACGGACTGGGTGGCTTAAACAACAGACGTCTATTTCCACATGCCTGGAGACTAGGAAGCCCAAGAGGAGGGCACAAGCTAATTAGGTTCCTAGCGAGAGCCCACTTCCTGGTTGCAGATAGGGGTCTTCTTGCTGGGTCTTCACATAGGGGAGAGCGAGAGCGCTGGTCCCTCCCTCCTCGCATGAGAACGCTAATCCCATCATGGGTACTCCCTCCCCATGACCTCATCTACACCTAATTACCTCCCAAAGGCCCCACCCCCTAATACTATCACATTGGGGGTAAACGCTTCACTATATGAATGTGGTGGTGGGAGGGACACGTTCAGGCCACAACACACGTAGGAAAAAAATAAATAAAATGAGAATTTGAGGCCCCCAGAGGGAAAAGGATGAAAAATCTGCAAAACTATTAAATAAAACTTTGTAATCCTGAGGATTCTGCTTTTATAAATTAAAAAAAAAAAAAAGACTCTTCATATAAATGACTTGACAGTCCTTCCTTAACACTGAGCTGTGGATAAAAGGACTTTTTAACCTCTGGTTTAAAAGTTCACTTTTTCCATTAAGCACAAAGCAAGGGACAAGGAAATGGGACAGTGCCCCCTCAGACCTTTCACCCACAAGTCACCAGCCCATCATCAGACGGATTTGAAGAAGAGAGAATCACGGGGCATGGGGAGAAGAGGGATGGGGGACTGTACACGTGTCGGCCGTGGGAAGGAAGGTATCATCCATCTGCTGGTGCCACAGGCAGAATCACTGAGGCAGTTTTGAGAGGGTGCTTTTGTGGCACAGATTATGGTCAGGCATGAAGGCAGCGTATGTTCACCGAGCCCTGGTAGTGCCTTCAGAGGCCACATGAAAGAGCAGAATGGTCAAGCGGCTCGGGTAATTGACTTCTCCGGGGCCTAGCCAAGAGGAAGACAGCCGTCATCTGCGTTCAGTCCACTGGGAAGCACTGAGGATGTTGAGACCAAGTTAGAAATGCCTACCATTTCCGGGCAGGAGTGGATCCAGAGGAAAGAATTCACCAGGAGAAAAAGATACCCACCTGAGCTATTAGTGTTCCGTGGGGTAGAAGATACCATGAACCCGTCACTCTTACCTAATAAGTAACTCTAAATCTATTTTTTCAAGTTTTGTTGGCATTTCTTAAATTTTTTTAGAAAACTGACTGTGTACTTGGTTGTGTGTAAAGTATTCTGGAATGGCAAAAGAATATCAGGAAAGACAGCCAAAGTGATTAGCTAGGGTTAGCAAGTAATAAGAAAGACGGTTAGCATTTGTTGAACACTTACTACACACTCGGCAATGTGCAGAGCTCATCATTTACATCATCTCCTTTAAGCTTCAAGACAGTTCTGTGAGATGAGTGTTGCCACTGCCCCCCACACCCTCAGGCAATTTCAGTTTAGAGAGAGGGTAAGTGGTATGCCCAAGGTCACAATTTGAACTTGAAATGTGCCAGATTTTAAAAATCAGGCATTTGGGGGCGCCTGCGTGGCTCAGTCGTTAAGCGTCTGCCTTCGGCTCAGGTCATGATCTCAGGGTCCTGGGATCGAGCCCCACATCGGGCTCCCCGCTCGGCGGGAAGCCTGCTTCTCCCTCTCCCACTCCCCCCTGCTTGTGTTCCCTCTCTTGCTCTCTCTCTGTCAAATAAATAAATAAAATCTTAAATAAATAAATAATAAAATAAAAATCAGGCATTTAGCTACACGTGGCCCTTCCTGCATTCCTTGCCACTTTTTTCCTAGAGAAGTCAGGCTAAGTGGTAAGGAAGCAGTCAGACCAACCACTGAAGGGGACCTCTCATATCTATGCATCCATTAAAGAACACAATTCTAGCCCACAAAGCTGTTTATTCTGATGAAAAACACAGACTGCTGGAGATGGAGCTCCAACCCAGGGAGGCAGCTAGAAAGTCTGATGACCTATGGCTTTACCTCTTTGAAAACATATGTAGGGCTCCCTTGATTTAGATTTACCACCATCACTCCCTCCGGAAAAACAGAGCCTCATCTGATTTACCTGCTCCCGGTGACTGTCCCATCCCAAAACCCTCACTTAATTTTCATTCCTGTGATCACAGATTGATTAATTCTGCTTCACGGACCTGAGTGCCTTATGGTGCCACTCCAATAATTGAGATCATTTTCTGTGACCCACTTTAAGCTTTTTCTCTTCCCTTAAAAAAAAAAAAAAAAAAAAACCTGTTTTCCACAACCCCTTATTAGCCAATACAATACAGCATTATTTCCCAGCTGAAGATGACAGAAGTTATTCTAAAAGGACCTGTGTTAAAAGTAACTGCTTATTTGATCTGAGGAAAAAGCCTACCTTGTGTGCCAGGCACTGTGCTACGTTCATTTCATTTCATTCATTAATCCCCTCACCAACCTCTTAAGTTGTTTTTACAGATAAAGGAACTGAGGCTCGGAGTACAAGGTGCCATCAGGATTCTGATCCTGCTATAGGTCATCAGACTGGTCTGGGGCTTTCTACACATATATTAAGAGGTCTCCGGACACCGAGCAGGTCACATTTGCCACAGTAACAGGCTCCAGTACATAGGAATGCTTCAGATGTTTTGAAGGATTTCATTCCAATAAAGCATAAACTAAAGAACATCTTCCCTAAAGTAGGATTGGCTTTTTCCCAGAGTCTATTATTTAATTAGGGAATTGCTAACTAGAAACGCAAGCCCTCTCCTGGACTCTGCAGACCATTCTTCTTCTCTGCATTCCCTAGGATGGCCAAGGACAAAGCTGACACCAGATGCTTTCAGGGGAGCTGGTAAATTTCAGAAACACCAATGAGGGCCTTCTGATGACATCCTGGTCTACTCATTTGCAGAAAGGGGGTGGAAACTGTGCTTGGAAAGCAGCAAATAGTTTTAGGAAAACACCAACGAATCTGCTCTGTACCAGAAAACCATGGGGTTATAAAACTCTTTATATTGCCCCATTTTTGTCTCGACTTACCAAGAATTCTAGTTTGGCCAAAAATCTCATTTAATATTTAATATTAGACATTGAGAAATTCACTCCTTGGGTAATATAATTTAATTATATTCCACATTATTCTGGTTTGGTTTATTTCCCTGCCTTGGAGGTCAGATTGAACTCTCCAACCGTGGTCTCATAGGTTTCTGAAACATGTCATTTCTAAAGATTCACTTCCTATTTGGAGATATCATAAGCCCTAAAAGATAAAAAGCATGGGAACGGTAAAGAGAATATATTAAACAAAAGATATATCCTGGGCGCCTGGGTGGCTCAGTCGGTTAAGCGACTGCCTTCGGCTCAGGTCATGATCCTGGAGTCCCGGGATCGAGTCCCACATCGGGCTCCCTGCTCGGCAGGGAGTCTGCTTCTCCCTCTGACCCTCTTCCCTCTCGTGCTCTCTCTCAAATAAATAAATAAACTCTTTAAAAAAAACAAAACAAAACAAAAGATATATCCTATTTTGGACCCCCCCAAAACCAATCTGTAGCTGGACAGGGAGGAGGGTAATGAGCATGTTGACGTCTTTGTGTAAATCGGGCAGATTCCCCCAACATGTTTTCCAATTTCTGTTCTATTTTTCTGTGCTCCTGCCCGAGGACATTGACGTCTGGACAATCAATGACACAGGCTTACACACACGTACTGCCGGGCACAAGCCTGCAAGAGCTGCTGAAGTGGTTTAAAAGTTTCTGTGTGGAATCCACCACAAAGTACCAGTTAAAAGGGCCAGGAGTGAAAGCCGAGCTCCCAAATGACTAAGACTGAAAAAGATAATACCCCCAGGCATCTGTATGTCTCAGCATTTAAATTATATCCCTTGAATGCCAATTTGGACGTTGTGCCAAGAAGCAGTTGAAGCCCTTTTTCATGGAAATACCCAATAGAAGACCAATCTGTTTAAATGAAAGGTGTCTCTAATCATTTGGTATCAACATAACATGTTTTTATTTTATTATGTAACCTTGCATTATCTTGGCCTCTAATGAGGATCTTGCATTGTTACTGATTCACCATAATTTCATGGAATTATGTTGTCCAAATGTGTATTCTGATGCCAAAAAAAAAAGAAAAGGAAAGGAAAACCTGTCTTATTATTTACACACGGTTGCTGGATCTAGCACATTTCCTACGTTGGGGAAAGTCTGATATCGGTTAAAGAAATGATCTTCTCTGTCCGTAAAGGGCTTTCCCGCAAAGCGCCACCTCCTGACGGGTACCCCCAGGATAATGAAAACTGTAAGGAGACTTGTTTCTCAGTCATTTAACAGTTTCTCTACTCCCCCCTTCCCCTTCTGAATTCCAGCCTGTGTTCTTCTCTCTGCAGGATCAGTGATTATATGGATCTGACCCCTGTAGACATTGTAGGGAAGAGATGCTACCACTTCATCCACGCTGAAGATGTCGAGGGCATCAGGCACAGTCACTTGGACCGTAAGTACTTCCCGTGCGTGGGAACAGTCAGGCTGGGGTCATCTCTCTCTGAGGCTTGTTTGGTTGCAGTGCTGATTTTTTTCCTTCCTGTCTCGTGCATACATTTGAGATGACTGTCAGCGTGCCGGGAGAAAAAGTGAGACGGAAATCACTTCAACTCGTGTTGGAGTTAGATCGCAAGTTGGAACTCAGGCCCGGAAAAACTGCTGGATCTTTAGGCCCTCGGCCGGGATTCTGTGGTCTCTTGTGCTCTCTCTCCCATGAAGTGATGGGGGAAATTTGCCTTAAGTGCCTTCTTGACCCTTTCATTTTCTAGAGAGCGAGCTCCACTCTGAAATTTGTGGCCTCTGTGTCAAGATATATGTGGGAGAAGACAAGTTCAAATAGACCAGAGCCTATAGCCATTCCTACTTGACTGACTGCACAGCTGGGGCCAGGGGGAAGCCAGGGCACAGGGCCAGAGCAGATCCGCTCTCAAAGGCAGCATCTCTTCACTGTATTTCTGGAAAGGGGGTTATTCCGAGGAAGAGATACCACCATCTCCTGACTCCCGGGAGGGAGAGAGACTCATCTCAGCTCTTTGAGTCTGATTCCCAGCTCCTGACTCACAAGCTGACCTCCGAGGCACCTTTTTTGGCAGGAGGCACTGGTGTGCAGAACCCTCTTAGGAAGAGGCTGCCCCTTTTCCAACCGGAGGTCCTTTTGATGACCGATCAGTAGACTCTTCTTCCTAAAAGATGAGGGCCCGACGTGCTCATCTTCCTAGAAGGTTCTAAACCCGGTTCTGAACTCTGGTTTTAAATACATGCGAGGTGCCACAAATGAGAGACTACAGCTTGACGGTCAAGTTTTCCTGTAGCACCACTAGCCAGGTGCCCTCTGTATTTACTTCCTCTCCCCTTTCTTGCCGAGCCCGAGGAGAGCCCTCTCAGGTCTTTCCTGCTCTTTGCAGGTGTTTGCTCGTTTTAAACACACATCTTCAACAGCATAATGCCAAGACAGTCAGCCAGGCAGAGTCTCAACATGTGAGCATCTTGTACTGTTTTTTAACCCTGCATTAGCACCACTGACATGGGACCAAGTTCAGTGTCAAATTCTGTATATATCATGTCTGTGGGAAAAGCCTGCCTGTGAGGCTGCTCTCTAGCAAACTCTACTCCTAACACGGAGCGCATGCCTTAGTATTGCACACGAGGGACTTAGGGAACACACTTGTTGCTAAGAATGAATGGGTGTTGTACATCGCAGAAGCAGATGGCTCTTCAATTAATTGGGGGGGAAATGATGCTGTTTCCTGAAAAGAAACATCAGGGTCTTTGTAGCTGGGAATTTAGAGAAGATGGAGGAAAAATCGGGATCTTTGGAGGAAGCTCTGAATATATTTTTGGACCAATATATGCCAGAGATCCAGGCTTTAAAAATGAGTATATTATCTTTAGGACACTGTCACGGACCATGTGTGTGGGGAGAGAAGGGTGCTTTTTCATTTTGGAATCTTAATTGAGGTCTAACTTCAGAAACCCGGTGCTGACAAAAAAGAACTATGTCATCTTCAGTTATTACTTGGAAAACGTCATGCTATCTCTCTGGGATTTGATTTACAGCTTGAAGAAACACAATTCCTCAGGAACAGTGAGCTAGGGCAGTTCATTTCTTCCCATGAAGCAAAGGTCTCCAACAAATATGTTTGATGCCATTCTTTCCGATCTACTTTTATCTCATTTTCAGTAACCAGAATAATTTGAGAGTGCTGAAAATAAACAACTCTGCCATTCACTATTGTGCTAGTCGCCTAATTTTTCTGGTATTGTGCCAACTAATAAACAGAGAAGGTATGCTTTTAAATTCTGTGATTTTTTTTCATTACTTGATATTGACATACTGGCTATTGCTTTATGATTTAGCCTCCTAACAATGATTGAGTTCGCTCTTTCAACTCATACACACGACTTCTAATTTTAAGTTCTTTTAATAACCTCAAACACATGAAAAACAAATAAAATGAGCTGATAATTCTGCACAGTAAAATACACTTCACATATTTAGCTCTCATGCTGTGGAATAACTCCACAATGTCAAGTAGCACACAATTAGTAAAGCTGTAGGGGGAGGAAAAGGAGGGTTTTGATCCTGAAGAATTTTGATCCTAATCAGATTGAAATTTCAACGTTCTTGTAGTGCTTAATATCTTCAATCACACACACACACACACACACACACAATCAAACTGATGCCAAAGTCAGGTTTTGCATTCTGTGACTGAAATAAAATGCTAAAATATACAAATGCATCTCGCTTTGTACAATAAACATTAACATCATTATAAAGTAAGATTGAGTCTAAAATTGTGTGATGGAATGTCTGATGTTTACCTAATTCTCAAACCAAAGCCAGCCCAGTAACAAAATGACAGAGCATGTAATAAGTCTTGGTTGTGTAAACACTGGAAGAAAAGGAAAAAAGCCAGCACAGTATCTTGCTTGTCCAAAGCCCTAGGCTATTACTGAAGGATGCCTCGACTGTACCTTCTTGGCAGGAGAAGGTCATGGTGGCATAGAATCAGCTCAAAAATAAGATAGAATTCTAAAACAAAGGGACGGTTAAACAATAAACCACATTAACTATTTAGCTCTTCTTCCTAGAGCTATTGGCACAATTCCTGTTTCTGTGCACGAAAGACAGGTTTTAGCCATCTGATAATATTTCTGATATTTTGATATGTCTTATGCTCCAGTTTACAGATAAAAAAAGAAAAGACTCCATAGTCTTTGATAACTCAAAATGCTATCTTTATCACTTATATCTTTTTCCTAGCATAGGCATCTGTAAATCCATAGATGAACTTGTCTCTAGAATAAGAAAAGTAAAAGGGAATCTCAGCTGCATCAGGAACTGACAACTTTCATCAGTTGAACCAAGAACTTTGGACCATTCACTCTCCCACTAAGTTAACATGAGACGCCTGATAGTTCACTGGCTTTCAACATAAAGAATCACTAAGAATCGCATTATCTATACCAACATGGTGGGTGAGTGAAATTATACTGGGATTCTAAAACCAAGGGGGTTGTAGGACCTCTTCTTTCACACTGTGACCAAAGACCTCTGTGATTTTTCTTTACCTTACATCACCGTCCTGGAGTCATTGAACCCAATTTCACTGATTCTCCAGGCTGAATTCACCCAATCAACATTTCAAGGTTTGAATTTTCAACTACTCATATAAGCAATTATTTGAGCATCTTGGCCTACCAGGCTCCAGTTCTCCACTGCTCAGGAGGTACTGACCTCCAGATGACCAGTCAGGTCTCCCTCGAGTCTGACGCCCCAATTAGCTCAAGCATTCGAGAGCCACTCAACCATCTACTACTCTACCTCTGCTGGTAGCCCAAATGTAGCAGGGCAGACCACTAATGCTAAACCAAACAGAGGAACGTGTTTTGCATTTCTCGTTTGTCCCTTTTAATCCAGCCTTTTGTCTATAGAAGTTGCTGAATTTGTCTTGAGATATCCCCGGGGTCCTTCCCGGGTCAAATGAGCAACTCTCTAAAACCTAGACAGAGTGGCCAAGGGAGATTTCCCTTCCCTCTATAATGTTGTGATCCACTTGCAAGGCTCGAGGCTCTGCCGCTGTGGGACTTTCAAGAAAAAGGAGCCAGAAAAGCTAAAAGTGGTAGCAGTTTTCCCTTCCTAGTACCTTACCCAGAATGAGGAAACTCTGCAAGAGTTATTTCACAAAGACAGAAGGCCTTGCAGCTTGTCTGTGAGATCTTATAGAATTAAAACGCACGGCCTACCCAATATATTTAGGGGATGTTAAAAAAAAAATACATTAGCCTCAGCTTTATTTCTTAATTACAAAATTTTATCCTTCTTAACAAAAGTCATGCTCATGCACAGCTACCTGGCAGAATGCATTGCATGCTGTTTTGCATCAATAACCCCTCCGCTTCCCTCCTGAAGGCGTCTCATCGCCAAATGCAAGCCGACTGCTTAATGCAGGACTAATTAGTATATCCCCTTCCAGTCTGCAGGCCCTCCATTGTAATTCCTTCCCAGCTCATTTTTTTCCACAACCGAGCATCAATCAAAGTAAGTGCCCTGCCTGCCTCGGAAACACAAGATGTCCTCCATGCATTTGTCATCTACCACGCAAACAAAGGGGGAATTTAATTGTTGATCTACGTACGCAGCCACTGCACACCGGAAAGGAAGCTGCGGTGCAGGGTGAGAGGAAGGTGCAAAGTTTGGTGGATGGGCCAAGTGCAGAGAGCACAGGGGACTTCTTTCTAGTCTCTGGTCTTAGCTTTTTTCAGGGCTGGGACTTCGGGGATTTAGCCGCGACCCGATCATTGGCTGGACTTTTTCCCAAAGCAAATGAGTTTTTCATCTTCTTCTGTATGAATATGAAAATGCCCCTGAAAGAAGGTACACGTAACAGCTACCATGTCAGACTGTTTTCGGAAGCCAAGTCAGCCCACATCGTGTGCCTGTCCGTTAACCAAAAAAGATTGTCAAGTCAGGGTTTTATGCAGAAGTGAATGACGTATTATTTTCGCTTTTTTTTTTCTTTTCTTTTTGGGAGAGTACTGATTTTGGCTTTTCCAGGCTAAAGGCAGGCACACAGAGAACAGAGACTAGCAAGGGCCTAACTATCAGTTGAGTGTCCTTCCTCCACTGCATTACAGAAGTGCCTACCCCCAGCTTAATGAATCCAGACTTGCAGTCAACAAGATCCCTAGCAGACTCCCATTCTGGTTAACGTTTGAGGACTGACTTATACTAGTATTTCGAAGGCTTTCTTGTATATGAAGTAAAAGTAAATGCAAACTGACTAGCAATTTTGGGGGCTTCATATTCCCCTCCAGTTGGATGAATTTTGTGAATACTGTAAAATATAAGTAGCGAAATGACTCTGAGGGTATCTCAGGCAGTGTTCAAATGAAATGAGTATGTGATTACTTGATAAAGAGATGAACTTCTTTACAAAGGTGCAAAGT